CGGGACGGGTGGTGGGGGGACCCGGTTTAAACAGTGTGCCCTTGGCCGGTCTTTCGGCGTCTCCGGCCTGTGGGAATGGGAGTGCCACCCCTGCCCGTCCTCCTCAGGGGCCAGTGCTGAAGTCGCTAAACTAAGAGGGGGCGGGGAGGGGGATCCTAAGCCCAGGCGCCCCAGATTCCCGTGGAGAGGCCGTAAAAGCAGCCCAGCCGCCCGTGCACGTGGACAAAGAGAATCCGGGGCCTGGGGGAGGGGCCCGGCGTTGGCTTCGCTGAAGACCTCGGTCGCCTTGGAGAGTTCAGTCCAGAGACGTGCTGAGAAATAAACATCATTTCCGTGCCGTGTCGGGCGCCTGCCGCACGGTTAGGAGCTGCCCAGGTGACTGACTCAAGAGGGCTTGCACCGGGCAGCGGGGCGGCCCGAGGACGAGGGTTCCTGCTCCGCACCGTTCACCAGCCCGTCGGCCTGGGGCCCAGGCTTCCCCTCCCGGAGACTCGGGATCCTTATCCGCAAGGTGAAGTTAGTAATAGCACCTAACTCAGGATTGTTACGAAGGTGAGCTAAGAGAGGGTATTAAACAGCCGTCCCTGTCGCGCGGTGGGCCTTTGGAAAAGGGCACCTTAACTGGGGGTCGCGCGTGGCGCTGGGAAGCCCGAGACGGGGCTCGCAACCTAGAGAGGCCCCCGCGGGTGAAACCTGGGCTGCCTGCACTTTGTTTTGAAGCACCAGTTCTCGGATTTTGTAATTATGTCATTAATAAGAGAACATTCCCGTTTTGGGAATATGCACTGCGGTATTTGGGGACAAAGAGATGAGAGACCAGTAAGGCAGATGAGGGGAAATGTTAACATTTGGGGAGTCTGCGTGAAGAATACGGAACGTTCTTTGTACTATTCATACAACGCTTCTGAGTTTATGTTAAAAAGTTGATTATAACTTTGCAGCTGTCCTACGTTTGTAAATAAGTGAAACAGTACAGTGTTTATAACCCCCCCCATCCCATGCACTTTCACCCCTTTTTACTTAATGGCTGTATTGTATTATACAGACATACTTTATTTAGCCCTCATTGATGAAATCATGCATTAACAAACAAATAGATGAAGGAGTGAACACACAGTAAGGATATTTGTACCTACTTCCAAATTCTTGTTGATGTGGAGCCCTCTTGAAATGGATGGAGCTGCTCAACAAATATTTATGAAGCTTCTGTGTGCACGGTTGTGGACTCCGTGAGAACTATGATAGTCAGAATTTTTCCCCTCGTGGAACTTACTGTCTGGTTGGGGAGACAAATTAGATACTGATAGAATAAAAGCTGAAAGGCAGTATCTGCTTTTAATGAATAACCAAGAGTTCTTTCTTAAGAGGTGACATTTTAAGCTAGGGCCTGAAGCAGGAAGAAAAGCATTTGGAAAGACTCAGAAGCAGAAGATGTTATTTAAGAATTGTGTAAGAATGCTAGATTGAAGACAGTATTGCTGGGATAAAATGAGGGGCAAGGGATGTGGTATGAGAAGAATTATGCTGACTGTTATATGGAAGAACAGCAATGAAAGCAAAAAGATCCCTGGGGAAGCCTTTGTATTTCAGGCAAGAGGGAATGGTTAATTGGTCATACTTGATGAATTTGAGATGGTGAAGGTGTAGAATCAACAGGACTTGATAAATTTGACAGTGGTGGGCAGGAGAGGAGGTTGATAAAAGTGGAGGATTAGGATAACCTTTAGGTTTCTGGCTTGAAACACTAGGTGGATCACAGGGACATTTTATTGAGAGGGAAGATTAGAAACTGGGAGAAATAGGTTTAGGATATATGTGTATGTGGGGGATATAATCAAATAATTTTTTGTTTTTTCGTTCTTAAGTTTGAACACCCTATGAGGCATTAAGAAGGAGCTCAGAGGCAGTCTGGACTGGAGATGTAAGGAGTCATAAAAATAGACCAGGATTTTTCTACTTTGACAGAATATATTGACATTTTGGACTGAATAATTCTTTGTTGGGGAGAGCTGTCTTGTGCATTGTAAGTGTTTAGTGCATCCCCACCCTCTGAGACCCATTAGATGCCATTAGCACTCCTTCCCCCAATTGTGACAACTAAAAATGTCTCTAGACCTTGATGTACATCTCTTTGGTAGGCAGAATTGACCCTAGTTGAGAACTGATAAAAGTCGTCTTAAAAGCTATGGAATTGACGGTGGTCACCCAACAGAGAATATAAAGCAGAGGTCTAAAAGTAGTGGCCAGTAGACTACCAAGACTGTTGTAGATAAGGTTTTTTTCAAGTACCCCACAGTACTTGACAATTTCTGGATTAATTAGCAGTATTTAAAAATTGAAAGATCACGATTGCTTTGGCAGCACATACTAAAATTGGAATGATGCAGAGAAGATTAGCATGGCCCCCTGTGCAAGGATGACACACAAATTCATGAAGTCCTCCATATTTAAAAAATAATAATTGAGAGATTTTACATGAAAATCTGGGTTTTTGCTCTTCCTTGAAAAGTTAAGAAACTAAGGAAGAATGAATCTTCATTCCTACATGAAGGCTAGAGGCTTTGAGATCTGGCATGTGTATGCTTAGTTCATTTTAATCTCTTCTCTCCCATAGTGCTTCACCCTTTGTATTTAAGTTTGTGAATCCTTAATTTACAGAGGGCCCAGGGCAATCCTCTGCGACATCCTATGTCTCATAGGATGTTCAAACTTAAAAAATTATTTGATTTCATCTTCTATATACCCATACAGCCTAAACCTATTCCTCCCAGTTTCTGACCTTCCCTATCTCAATAAAATGTCCCCATTATCTACACCAACATTAAAATTTGGATAGAGAAAGAGAGGCAGTACAGGAGACTGGGAGGTAGGAGGAAAAGATAAATGTAGGCTCACAGAAGCTGAGTGGGAAGGGGAGTGTGTTGAAAAGGAAGAAAATGCTGATAGGTTGAGTAATAACACCTTAGAAAAATATCCAGTGGATTTGGTTATGTGAAGCCAGATTGCATAATGACAGAAATGAATATGCAGAAGAAGTGAATTGTGGGCTGGGGTAGTTAGAGTAACTCATGATGCCAATGTCCACTGTCTCATTGATTCTCAGCAGCATTCTCTCTCCTACTGTGGCTTGGTGGAAACTCAGGGATGCCCCACAGCTGTACTTAGAACTTCACAAATTCCAAGTATAAAACTGCCTCCAGTATATTAACTTGCCATCTTTGTTGTTAGGTGGTGGTTTATATCTTGAAAAGCTGGTAAGAACAGCCTAAATGAGCACTTGGGATCTTCTTATTTTATGATACACCTAAGCTTAAAATGAGATAGATGTTATTAGGGCCATAGAAAATAAATTTGGGTTTGAAGTTTCTGTAGTAGAAAAATTGTAGAGTACCTTGCAGAAAAAAAGACATGGAATTGGATCATCATTTTATCAGAGAAGTTCAGAGGATATCAGCTGTCTGGAATATAGCAATGCTCATTTTTTATCAAAGTGTTTTTTAGAGTTTGCCTGGCTGGGTGTGGCTCAGCGGTTGAGCGTCGACCTAGGATCCAGGCGATCGGGGTTCGATTCCCCATCAGGACACATGCCCGGGTTGCGGGCTCGATCAATGACTCTCTCATCATTGATGTTTCTATCTCTCTCCCTCTCCTTTCCTCTCTCTGAAATCAATAAAGATATATTTAAAAAATATATACATATTAGAGTTATATATAAGTGTTTGCTTTTCGAAATCAACCTATAATATAAAACAAAAAGATGACATGAGATGGGGAGACAGCATGTGGGTAGTTTGACTATGGAGAGGAGTAGAAAAATGGGGCATAACTGGTGAGGTGTGGAATCTAGAAATTTTCTTTAAAGATGAAAATATACTGCAGCGTATTGTTTTGTACTGGTGAAAGTATTAAGTAAAGAAGGAAAGTACTTGGATGATTAGAATAGGATGGCAGCCTTTCCCTGTTGTAAATGTTAGTTTTAGAAACTAAGGAGATCATTTGTTCTGGGCCCCCAACTAGGGCATAAAAAAAAAATATTCTGTCTGTAGTCACTCAATGTGATAGGTTTGTTTTGTAGAGGTACTCTAAATCTTTGGTCTATTTCTATAGGTTCTTAATTTTCCACAATGGGTGAGCCACAACAAGTGAGTGCCCTTCCACCACCTCCAATGCAGTACATCAAGGAGTATACGGATGAAAATATTCAGGAAGGCCTAGCTCCCAAGCCTCCACCTCCAATAAAAGACAGCTATATGATGTTTGGGAACCAGTTCCAGTGTGATGATCTTATCATCCGCCCTTTAGAAAGTCAGGGCATCGAACGGCTTCATCCTATGCAGTTTGACCACAAGAAAGAACTGAGAAAACTCAATATGTCTATCCTTATTAATTTCTTAGACCTCTTAGATATCTTGATAAGGAGCCCTGGGAGTATAAAACGAGAAGAGAAGCTGGAAGATCTTAAGCTGCTTTTTGTACATGTGCATCATCTCATAAATGAATACCGACCCCACCAAGCAAGAGAGACCCTGAGGGTCATGATGGAGGTGCAGAAACGTCAACGCCTTGAAACAGCCGAGAGGTTTCAAAAGCATCTGGAAAGAGTCATTGAGATGATTCAGAATTGCTTGGCTTCTTTGCCTGATGATTTGCCCCATTCAGAAGCAGGGATAAGAGTAAAGTCTGAACCAATGGATGCTGATGATAGCAACAATTGTACTGGACAGAGTGAACAACAAAGAGAAAACTCAGGTCATAGAAAAGACCAGATTATAGAGAAAGATGCTGCCTTGTGTGTTCTAATTGATGAAATGAATGAAAGACCTTGAAGGACTTTTTGTTGTTGTTTTTCTTTTTTCCTTTCAGTAAATAGTTCCATATATTAGTTAATTTGTTGTTGGAGAGTCTTAAAAGAGATATAACTGGGAGTTATGCAAACAGCTTCACTCTCCAACTTTATCAATTATGAGATATCACAGTCAGTAATTTCAATTTATGGCAAGCATAGGCAAATGAGTATGACTACATTAAGAGTAATTAACTTAAAAAGCAAAGTGCTGCTGTTGTGAGGAACATTCCTGTTTTTGGAGTTGCACTAATCGTTGAAGATAATCCTCAGTAATAGCAAATTTTCATCCTCGAAAAGTAGATTTGTCATTTGCTTTAAGAATGATAAATAAAGGATATCAAACTGTGTATGAAATCTTTCTTTTACTTAAAAATTTGCTTACAATTTCTGTTGTAGCATTAAAAGAGAAGAACCCCATAGAGTTATAAAACAGCAATTTTATTTTTCCTCTTGACTGCTCCTATAAACACACTATCTCGACCAATCTTGCCCCTATCCTGGATGGGTCCCATAATTTTTTTTAGTCGCTCAGATAATAAGCCCTTTGATCACTTTTAGTTGCAACCATTCATTTTAGTAATCAAAATGTTTATGTAATTAGCTGTACAACTTTTAAAACTCAATTCATACTTGCTTAAAGCTGGAAGCCTGCAATGGGAAGGGAGTTTGGTGGCAGAGACTGTTAGATGTTCATTGGAGATTGTATCTCCTCTGAGATACGTTGCTGAGATAAGCCTATCCTGCTTTATTTACCCACTCCCCTTGCATTTATGTAAGGTCATGTGACTAAGTTCTTAGCAGTGGAATAAGAGGATAAAAATCCAGGCCTGCACCATAAAAATTTGCACAATCCATTCTGTTCTCATCTGTTGTTTGCATGGCCACACCCAGGATAACTTTGGATCCTCCATTCTCTTCTGACTAGATGGCCATACTCAGGATAACTTTACTATTTTGAAAATGGTAAAGGTTCAATCACTTTGGGCCCTTGAATGACTGAGGACTAGGCCCTCCTTTCATTAACTCCACCCCCACCCTTCCCAGCCCCACAGACACCCAGTCCCAGCTGATTTGACACTATATGAGTAAAAAGTCACCTTGTTTTGATCACAGATTTTATTTCTGTATCTCTTCCCTCTAACCTCTCCACCACCAGAGTTTTGGTGGAGAGTCTGTCTTCTATCTGAGGTTCTCTGCTGGCCTTTCTCTTAATGTAGGCCAGTGTTTCTCAAAGTGTAGTCTTGGACTAGCAGCATTAGCATCACTGGGGACCCTTTTAGAAATGCAAATTCTCAGGCCTCACTCCAGACCTACTAAATCAAACTCTAGGGGCGTTGTCCCATAAGCTGTGGTTTAATAAGCCCTCACATAATTCTGTTGCAAATAAGATTTAAGAATCACTGATAAAAGTAATGCCTTTCCCCATATGTCCACTTTTGATATTTCCCTCAGTCCCTAGTTTCCAGTATACCATCCTAATGGATTTATTTTATTAAGGTCTTCAGCTCTAGAGTTGGCAAAGACCAGTCTAAAGTGGCCACAGGTCAATTCTATATGTGGAACATTCATCCTCTTTAGAAATCTTTGGAATATAGCCTGTTCCCAAGTAGACTGGTCACTTTTTTTTTCTGGTATGTATGTGGTGTGGACCTTTGGTCTCTAGAGACTCCAGAGGATACAGTCCAGTCTCTCTTAAGCTTAAATTGAAGGGAGAGGGGAATCCACCTCATCCCCTTCTGGGGAAGCAAGTTAGACAATATATAACACTTGCGCAGCTCTCTAAAGAAACCTTATTTTGCCCTCAACCCTTTATAACCTTAAGGGTGGTGGGTTGAGAGACTATAAAGCAAATTTTCAGCTGCTCTGCAAATCCTTGCAGAGAAAAACCCTAATTGAATCACATTATAATGTTACAAGGTTTACAACATAATTTGTATATGAGTTTATGTGTGTGTTGGGGAGAAGATTAAGGGATTTAAATGCCACCAGCAATCTTAAATTCTGGCTTTGAGAGGATCTGATCTTGTAGGTTTTTTGAAAGAATTTTGATGTGAACCATTCACTAGGGGTCTGATAGTTACAAGTTTAAAAGCTTATATAAAGTCTTTCTATCTTGTGAAGATTAAAATACTTCTCTGCACACCTGGTTATAATGACTATTCCTGATAGATTGATTCCTCAAAGTGAACTGTCTGGAAGAATAGCCTGGGTACCTTTTGAAATTACCAATCCAGACCACAGAGATTCTGATTTCATTGTTCTCGGTGTATGTGTGTGTGTGTGTGTGTGTGTGTGTGTGACTTGGCATTGGTTTTAAGAATCTCTAGATGACTTTTTTGTGCAGTGGGTTAAAGGAGTATTGCATTAGTCAGTACTCTCTACTTGAACTAGTTTAAGCAAAAAGCTGAATTTGTTGAAACTTGTTACATGATTGAAGGATAAGTAGAACATCTAAACTATGAAGAGGACTGGGAGGGTCTCCAGGGCAACAGGGATTCAAACTACATCCTGACCCCTTCTCTGTCTCTCCTGTCTGTCTTTTATCTGTTAGATTCATTCTCTTTACAACACAAATTCTTTCATGGTATGGGTGGAAAACATGGCTGCTGATCATTCCCAAGTAGTAAGTCTATCTGGGAGTTTTGTCTCAAAAAAAAAAAAAAGTGGAAGGCTAATTAACCAGCCTGGAGGGAGAAATTAGGGGTGGCATTCCTGTTTCCAACTGGGCCAATCAGCTGGGTCCTTGATCCTGTAAGAAATTGACAGTCCCCAAAATGTCTGTATGGGGGGAGGTAGTCTATCTCCCAGGGAAAAGGAGATGCTGAGCTGACCATTTTGTAGATATCTACTACAAATTAAGCACATGTAATTTTTTTATATAAATAGCAAAAATAAACAGGTTGTACTAATTGATATTTACCTCATTCGTGTGAGAGTGGCCATCCCCATTTATTCATGTATTCACTGTATTGATTTAGTTAATATTGTCCTCTCTATGCTTGATACTGGTTTAGTTGCTAGGGGTTTGGACAGGGGAGGAAAATGGAAGAAAGATGAACAAGAAAAATGAGTTAATTTTTGAAGGTTTTAAGTTCATGCCTTAACCATCTGGCCATTACAACACTCAGGAGAATCTTGCTTCCAATTATATTCCTATTGCCTGCTCAAGATACCTTGACCATTTTATCTTTTTAAATTATGTTTACATGTTCACATTTGTTAAGGGCTTTGGAAAGCAACTTCAAGTATGCTGTGTGGTATTTCAGAGAAAAGGCCTGTGCTAGTGATACCGTTGTAATTTAACCTGGTTATTGGTGACAGGAAGGGAGCAGGGGGAAGGCCAGGTATTTTGGGTGTGCTGTTTGTGCAGCTTTGCCAGGAAGCTGCAGTTTAACACTCCCCAGGAAGTCACTGGTCTATTCCCCACAGATCCCTGGGGGAAGGGACTGGAGAGGGGAGAATAGACACATGCCCAATAAAGTCTGGGTGACATAGGGAAGGTACTTGTCTGTCAGTCACACCTGGGAATAGGTCATTGGCCAGAGTAGGCATGGCCACTGCAAGCAGGGGAAGATTCAAGATATTTAATGCCCTAAACAAAGTTCACTCTCTAGTGCTCTTGCTCTCTTGTGCTCCTGGTTTCTCAGGGGGCTCTCACGCTCCTGTTGTCCTGAATTTGCCCACATAGCCCACAGCCATGTGAATCCCATGTTAGGCTTGCTAAGAAGGAACACACGAGGCCAGATGAGAAGGTAAAGGCAATTTTGTTAGGGCATCTGAATACAGATGGTTAAAGCATCTAAATACAGATGAGCTGAGCTCCAAGTGGCATCAGTCCCAGTGGTTGGGAGGAAGTAACCCTCTTTAGAGGGTGTAGGGAGGGAACTTTTTGGCCTATGCAGGAGTAGAAAGCTATTGAATGTAAGGAACAGGTTGTTGCTTGAGATACTTTCTCATGCAGGGAGCGAAAGTTGTCAAGCATAACAAAGAGTGTGGCTAGCGAAATGAGTTTACCTAAAGTGTACATTCTCGTGTGTGTGTGGGGGTGAGCCCTTAGGAACATCAAGCTTTTGTTCAAACCTAACACCCCACACAATGGACTAATGGACTGCAACTAGCCTGATGCTGTACTGGATGCACCCCCACCGTGGAAAGGAAACTTTGGAGGCTGGCTTTGCTTCTAGCTCTACTGAATCCCCAGCTGCAATCTTCCAGGACTGGATTAAGGAAAATGGGACTTTGGAAACCCAATGATGTAATTCCAGGCAAATAAAAATCACTCATTCTCCTGTGTGAGTCTCAGAAAATTCTTTTTCTCAAGATAGCATAAGGAGCCCACCCTCAGCACCCAATGGGGAAAGGGATACCCCACTCCCACTAGCAATGGAGAAAGACCATAATTTTCACTGGTAACACGAGGGTTACTAGAGAGCCACCCACATTGGCAGGGGCTCTCCCCTCCTCGGGTCTTGTCACACTTGTGAGAAAGCAGATGAGTGATAGAAAGCCATATTGAAGGAAAGCAAGCAAATTCGTTAAGAATACACTTGGCATAAAGCACAAATGGGCAACTCAGCTAGTCTGAGTGTCCCATCTGGTGGGGGTTCAAGGGTTTTATATTTTCCCCCCTTTAGGTTTCAAGGTTCCACTGCCAGATATCTTGGGCAACAAACTAGATTTCAAGGTCCCCCTTTTATATTGTGGCTTTTCCCAGAAATTTATGAGAGCATCTGGCAATCTTATCGTGGTGAGTCCCAAGACTGCTGACTTCTTTGTTCAGTGGGTGAGAAACTCCCCTTTTCCCCCTCCCTTTCCCTCCTCCTGCCCTAGCAGCTATCTATCCTGCCTTACGCTAGGTCCTGAGGTCACTGGAAACACCAAGTGCAAGGGTCTCATGAGGAAATAAAAAGTTGGCATGATTTGAATAAGAGAGGCTATTATTGCCACAACATAGAGAGGAGGTTGGAGCTAGAGAAGCAGATGGAGGGCAGATTGCAGGATTTAAAACGCCAAGGGAAGGTGTTTGTTTTATCCTAAATGGAATGGAAATCAATAGCAAGCATATAGGGCTTTGTTGACACTGTTCTAACCACTACACACACAGTCATTTTATCCTCACAACAACCCAATGAAATCAGTATGATTTTTATACCCATATTACAGGTGAGGAAGCAGTGGCTCTGAGAGGTTATGTAATTTACTCAAGGCTACCAAGACAGTGAATGGCCGAGCCAGTATTGAAAAATTCTTTCAAATCCAAACCACTCAACTTCCATACTTTACCACCTCTCTACTGCATTATATAGTTAAAAAGCCATAGGTAATAAATAGTGGAGCCAAGAGTAGA